TTGGTTAAAAAATCGAAATATATAAAAATATTTATAACAATGTCTGAAATATTATTAATTTAATACACTTAAGTACTTAATGAAGACTAAACGTAACAAAAAATCGCATGTAAAATAGTACAGTAGAAGCCGTTCTTCCGGTTAAGCCTTAATGCTCTCCCTCTCCCCCCGTAGGGGAATTTCGAAAAATCCCTTCTTAGTGTGTATTTTCATGACGTACCCTAACTGTGTACCAAATTTCACCTCTTTAGGTTCAGCGGTTTGCTCTGTGCGATGATGAATCAGTGAGTGAATGAGTCAGTCAGGACAAGCAATTTTATATATATATAGATTTTTATGGATATAAAGTATAATTCTGATGAACATTTTGCGAGTTTAACCGTCAAAGATAAATGGAATAATCAAATAAAATGTAATTATTAAAGCATGTTTTAGGATACATTTAACGAAGATGAAGTAAAATAGAAAAATATTGATCAGAGTGATTAGTATATCAGCCCAACTAATAATAATAGTAATTATAATAAAATAACATTAGTTATTACTAATCAATATTTTTTAAATGCTTTGTATTAATATAAAAGACTTAGATAACTGTAAGCTTCCCTTCGATATCAGCTTATGGTAAAGAAAGATCAAGGAAGACAACGGAGAAGATGGCGAAAGCAGATCACTTGAGTTTAATGAATCTAATCCCATACTCTATACTCCTAATTCTGTAGACTCCCGTAAATGATGACAATGAATAAAGAAGACTTAAAACAATTTCTAAAACAATTTGTTTCTTTACGACGTGCTTATTTATGCTATTCACGTCTTTTTTCCTATAAAGAAAAACACATTTTTTTCCAGATTAAGTTATTTCTATTTAAAGAAAATTCGAAAATAAACTTTATCTGATTCCTTGCGAAGTTTTTTCTTATTTAATGTGAAATTATTAATGACACGAGTACACAATGTTTAAATCTCTTTATCAAATATATTTATGTATGTTATTTATATATGACTGTCAACATATACCATATATACAGGCCTACATATAAGTTTAAAATATAGCCTATATAAATTTATAATTACGATAACCTATTTATTTACAGTAATTAAAAAATTTTTAAATGTTAGTTATAAAAATTTATTAAAATATTTAATTAATAATGTTCTGCACGAATGATAAACTTGAACTAGAAATGGAGTACTATATCTAATATGGCTTCTTATCTTTTTATCTCACCGAAACAGTCGTAAGAAATTCATTAGGCTACATGTTTCGGCTTCATCAAATAAATGGAGAGACGATAAATATTTTGATTTGTCTGCAATAAAAAGTAGCATTTCGGTTTTTTTCTACAATTACGATAATCATGCATTTCCTACAGGGTCTCTACAATATCTGTTTTGGGCATAATTACATAATACAGTAATTTTAAAATTGTAGTAAACTGTTTAGAGATTTTTAAAAAAATACTGAAGGAAAAATCCAACAAAACGGTTAGCAACCTCTTTATCTGCATTTTTAATGAACATTTTTTAGACATGTTTGTAAAAAAAATTAGATATGGAGATAGTTACTTAAAATTACTTGAATTCAGCGCTTAAAATATAAGTAATCAAGTATATATAAGTTTTAAACATAAGCACGGTTTTGCACGTGTATAAGTTTCTGTGATTTGAGAACTTGAAACATCTATTATTAAAGTTTTGGATTATTTTTATATCAAGAAAAGTAAAGACAAGAGTAACTTGATCAATCTGAAAGCATTGATAATGTAAAGAATGACAATAAAGAGACGGAAAATTTGTGCTTTGTTAAAGTAATTGATATGTTTGAAATGAGCAAAGCAATAATTGTAACTATTGTCTTTAAAAGGAAGTTAATTACTTATTTGTGTATATTGATATTATAGAATTAATTATTTATTCTTTATTAATGAATACGATGTAAAACTATAATCATGGTATTACATCGTATAAGGCGAATGAGGCAAAAAGAAACAAGGGAGCAGCGTAATCTGGTGTCAGGGTCCTGACTGAACGGTGACCATAGGTGAGGGCTGAGGTCACCGACAACCTTTCTCTTTTCATTAAAACGGGTTTAATAGCTTATGAATATGAAAAACAATGTACACAAAGTGTGACGTTAATAAGAAAAATTTTCTAAAAATATTTCTAAGCTGTTCTCACACAAGGGAAAGCAGGCTAGGGTGCGTTGGGTAGAAGTGTATGGAACCAAGAAGCGATGGCTCAAAAAAGTTTGGTAATCACTGCTGTAGAGTACAGTATTAAAAAATAATAAGCTCAGATCTCATGCCTAGTTATGATATGCCTAGATTATCGATATGCCTAGTTATAGTTAGTTAGTTACAGAATTATGCCGTTGGGCTTACATTAGTCGAAAGTTATTCGACTACATACAGTAGACCCCTATAAAACGGGTTCATATAATACGGATTCGTATATAACGGCAAAAAAATTGCGACCATATTCGTATAAACACACTAAAAGAAACTCGCATAATATGGTAAAACGTCATCGCCGACTCGTGTCGCGACAGGATTGGTCGAATCTAGACCAATAGCTGATATTGCACAAACCGTTGAGTTTAAACGAGCAGCGGACCTACTAAAAATCACTTATTATTTAACGGCCATAAAAATTATGTTTATATTAATGATGTCTCCAAAGTTCAGCAAATTTTTCGCAGAAAAATAATTTATCAGGAAACACGTGCCCGTCGTTCGATGCGCCGCTCCGGGACAAAAACAAGCTTAATCAATGGTGTCGTCGAACGGTGCACACTCGGTAAGTAATCCTACAATTTTTTGTTTATAGCATAGTTTATATGAATTATTCCCATAAAATTATATGTGTTTTGGAAATGTTGAGTCAAATTAGTCTAGAATCGATTAATTTTATAGAAGAAAACCTTTTAAACAGCCGTAGTCTCTAAACTGCACACGTGCCGGGCTGTGATTGGCTCATGTATTTAAGGACTCGTAGAACACGAAATTCATAAAACACGGAACGTATCTACCGTATTATAGGGTGTCTACTGTATATGAATTTTTGCAATGAATTTCCGTTTGACAGTATTGCAGGCCCGAATGATGCTCCATAATATCCAACACAATTTACTGTACTATGCAGTTTCCCGTAATGCTTTGCCTACAAGTTTCTCCGCATAATCTTCTACGACACGTTTCTTTTTGAAAAACAATATACTACATACAGTATACACGTATATAAAATAGAATATCTATCTGTTTTCTATGTACTTCTGCTTTTTGACCCATCTGCACAAAATTTTTCATACTGTCTAGGTCCCTGCGGAAAACATAAACCTGCGACCTGCGTTTCTCAAACTGTGATCCACGATGATTGGACAGATGGTCCTCAGTCAAATATAATTTAATAAAGATTAAAATTTTGTTTAAAGATAATTGAGTTTTAGTAGTTTACTTCCAATTTAATTATGTTTCAATATGAATTCAAAATATGCTTTTAGTAATATCAAAAGTGCTCAGCAACTAAATAAAGATAAACAAAACACCTTTTTTGCCGAGAAATATAATTTTTAAACAACAAACGTTTTCAGCCTAATTAATAGGCCATCTTCAGGTTGAAAACTAAAACGGAACGTAAATGNCAAGCACAAGGATCTGAGGTGAAATGGGACGAGGCAACAATCATCAAACCTCTGTCTTCCCCAACTCTAGCAATGACGGCAGAAAAAATAGAAATATACAGAAGTAAGATAAGAGAAGGCTGTTTAAATGCGAGGGATTCCGAGAGCCTGCCTTCGGCATGGAAATATTTGGTTAAGAAATATACTACAAGCTCCGACCAGAATTAATACATTGAAGATTTATGTTATTTTTGTTTTAGTGTTTTATTTAAATTTTTAAATATTCTTCCGTTATTTTCTCTTGTAAAAGTTTTGATTTAAATTTTTATGTTCTATTCATGGAACATTTACGTTCCGTTTTAGTTTTCAACCTGAAGATGGCCTATTAATTAGGCTGAAAACGTTTGTTGTTTAAAAATTATATTTCTCGGCAAAAAAGGTGTTTTGTTTATCTTTATATGCTTTTAGTTTTATTATGTTATAAATGGCACACACTATCCCAAATGCTGAAAATACACACAATAAACTATGCTATAAACAAAAAATTGTAGGATTACTTACCGAGTGTGCACCGTTCGACGACACCATTGATTAAGCTTGTTTTTGTCGCGGAGCGGCGCATCGAACGACGGGCACGTGTTTCCTGATAAATTATTTTTCTGCGAAAAATTTGCTGAACTTTGGAGACATCATTAATATAAACATAATTTTTATGGCCGTTAAATAATAAGTGATTTTTAGTAGGTCCGCTGCTCGTTTAAACTCAACGGTTTGTGCAATATCAGCTATTGATTAGACCTACATAACTTAGTGATCGTAGAATTTTTGTGAAATTTTACTGGTTCTTGGGTTTAAACAAGTTCAGAAACTGTGATATAGATTACCATGAACATGAAACCTAGACATTCATTCTGTCCTTTGACACTTCGTGATGAAAATAACAATGGGAAGAAAATAATCAACCTTTTATGGCTTAGTTTATGTTTACGTTTATTACTTCTCGCCCGAGCAGCGCCAAGCAGATCTCTTAGTGTATAGTGTATATATATATATATAATATATACTATATACATAAATTAGATAAGTTAAAACGTATTACACGTATATTTTCATATATGATATAGATCAGGTGTGGCCAAACTTTTATCCCTTAGGGGCTACTTTTTTGGTAAAATATAGTATGCAGGCGACTATGAATATAGGCAAACAATTTTAGGATTTTTATATGCGCATGCGTTAACATTCATTTGCATTGTTCATCGGGATAAATACAAACAGTATGGGTACGTTGCACAGACAGATTAAAAATTGAAAGAGGGGGGGCCTTCTGATACCACTCGTAGGTATAACCAAGAAGGTAGGAGAAGAGTTGCGAAGAGTAGTGGATGAAATTGGGGCAGGAAAAGGTGGAAGATCATGGCGCCTGCATCGCATTTATTTAGAAAAACAAAATACAAAACAGATACATTAAACAGTGTAACGGTAAAACAACACAATGTAGAAATTTACAAAAACGTTGCACAGACAGTCTATTATTGTAAGAATAAATTATCGAATTAAGATTTTTAAACATTAATTTAAGTGAAAGCAAATTGTTCAACTTAGCTTCCCGGGCTACTTTCAAAACCTTTGCGGTCGACCGCGGTCTACGTGTTGGCCAGCCCTGATATAGATTATATTTGAATAATAGAAATATGCAAATGATTCACGTTAATGGTTCTTAACTTATTGGTATTCGGGGCGTATTCAAGATTCGGAAAAATTGGTAGCAACACATGAAAGGTAATTTACATAAATTCCACATAAACATTACGCAACTCGCTACTCAATGAAGTCATTGCCGGAGTTTTGCGTAAATATCAAACAATTAAGTCTTTCAAATCATTTTTACAATAGCATAAAAAAATTTAACAAATTAAATTAAAACTCGCACAATTTTTATTTTTTTAAAATTCATTGCGATATTTAGCAACTCATTCTACGCAGTTCATTGATGAGTTCGTATATGCTCATGTATTGATTAATTTTTTACAGTAGAATGTCAGCTGCGGGCTAATAAGATATAACCGATTTGAAATTACAGCTGCCAAGATTTCTCTGAATACTGTATGTTTTTTCTTTATTAAAAAATGAGTAAATTAATTGCTATAGGCATACGTGAAAGCGGACAACTTGCCATCGATCCACTGCTTTGAAAACTGCTGATAAACAACAATAAACACACATATATACATAAACTTTAAGTAGAACATATAGTAAAATAAACTAAATCTCATTTCGTAACATTAATTACAAGTAGAAGACTATTCTACTCTATGTAAGACTATAAAACACTTGTAACGCCGCAAATTCGTCTATTCTTACGAAAAAGAAGTATGCTGCGCTTCCATGTTTTCATCTTGGGAGGCTTTAATTAATATTTATGTAACTTTTCTTATAACAAATACAATAACCTTTAGAAATCTTATAAAATTTAACTTATATAATTGCTTTTTGAGTTTTTGAAAATAATTTGTATAAGTTTTGAAAATTTTACACCGAATTACTTCTTACTTTTTATGCTCAGTAATTGAATTTGGAACGGAATGAATTAATTTTCGACATTTCTTTAAATGAAACATGAATATAAATTAAGAAATTTTATTATAGGGCTACGCCCTAATTTACAACATATAAGTGTTAAGGTTTGATATATTGACAAGGAAAATATATTTTCCTCGATTTCACATTGAGTTTTTTTTAAAGATCCTTCAAAAAACTCAAGGTGAAATCTTGATCTTTAATTTCGAGAAAGTAAACATGTACATATATTAATGACAATATAATAGTCTAAATAAAAATAAGAGCATGAAAATGTTTTAATGTGTTTTCGTAGAGGTAGAATTTCAAATCGAAACTAAATGTCGTGAAATCGAGCTGTAAAATCAATACTCTGTACACCCGATTAACGAAAATCCGTACAAATGAAAATATTCATTTTTTGTGTGACTTTTTTAACAGTAGGTATGTATTCGATTTACTTCTATATTTCATTTTATGAAACGGAACTTACTACATAATTACGTTAATATGTAAATTATTTAGTTAGAGGAGTGACAGAAATAACATAAATTCTTTAACTTAATATTAATTAACTCTTGATAGATTATCCAATTTTTCTGTTAACATTAGTGAGCTTGCCGATTAGAGGGAGGGGAGATCTCTAATCTCGCGTCAGGATAAACAAGGGGTTTCGAACCGTATAAGGATGGTGGTTTAGGAGACACTGATGCAATTCCAGTTTCTTTGAAATAAGGAAAATATTTGCTTACATATTCTATGTATAAAGATGTTTTACAATCGAAAGTTCGTTGAAAGGAGAGTTCTATAAGCTTGTCGTAGACGGTGCGTCTTCGACGGTAGCAGTCCCGGGGCAGTGATGAGGTGAGTTGGGTGGGTTGAAAACGAAGACACAGTAGATTCTAGATGGATTGGACGAGGCGACGGGTTGCATTTGGGCGATATCGATGTCGCACCAGTCGAAACGAAAGATTTTTCTGACAGCACAAACTGTAGGGAATCTGCGTTTAGGCCTCGAACTCCAGGGTTTTTATAAGATTTCGTCCCCAAATTTCCTTCTTCGATTGGTTCAGACTCCTCGTCGTTTCTCGATTGGTTCCTTCCCGTTTCCAGGTGGAAATAAGATCGGTTCGGGTCACGAGAGAGGTCTGTCTTAGACGGTCAGTCAACTCGACACAGTCCCTCGACTATGACCAGGAGACGTTAATGGAACTAAGAAAATTGCACTCGTATTTTAGCGCGTATTGTCTCTTTTTTGACATTTTAGAATGTTAATGATTGAACGCGATGTTTGCTGTTTGTCAAACCTCCTCATTTTCCGATTAAGTTTAACTTCGATCCTTTCGATCCACCTAGCGTCAGTGTCAAAGTTCGAACTCTCCGACTCGACACTGATCTATTGTTTAACACATGTCGAGACTCACTTGTTTACTTTCGCGTCGCGTTTATTTTCATTAAAATTTCCTTTAGTTTCCTTTTATCTTCTAACATTTTTATATAATTAATAATGGGTTCGGACTCAGTCTGGAACGTCACACACCTTTCTCATCGTTTTAAGCAAATTGCTTCGCATAACATTATAAAATGTTAAAATAAACATGCTGATTGATTGTTTGGTCTTCAAAAGTACGTTCTATGAACTTTAAATATTAAAAATTAAAAGACATTCTAACAGAAAACGTTAAGGAAGGGGTGCTTGTACGATAAAGCGAGTTATTTGAAAGTCAAGGACTATCAACATTTAAACAACAATTCGTTTGTACTTTACACGATACATGTTCTAAATTTAATTTAAATTTCAAGGTGCAGTAGAAACTACTAACAAATGCAGACTGCAAATCCTTGCTGACTGTGTGTTGACTGTGAGTGATTTTATCAAAAACCTGGGAAATCCATTTCCAAGTAATGAAGAAGAGTTGAAAGAACAATGCCGGTAGGTCTTTCAAATGTAAATTTTTGCAATAAATTATAAGAGAATTAATACTTTATTTTGTAAAGAATGTTGGAAACAGAGAGAAATTGTATGTACAACTTCTCCCATAATTGCATGACTTCAATGGATAGAATAGTGGGAGATTTTATTTTTAGTGGCACTATGCGAAAGATGAAAGATTTTTGTGACCCACAAAAACAGTTTTATAAAGGTAAGTAATTTTGCAACGTAAGTATCTGTTCTTATTTCATATCATTCAAGTTTAATATCTCAGTCAGTATGAAAATTTAAACTTTATTTATAAAAATCCCTGTTTATAAATACCTAACCAGATTATGTGAAAGAAACATCCTGCATAAAGTCTAATTTCAAAAGAGTCAAATCTTGTTTCGAAGAAAATCTGAATTCTGTAGTGACTTTGTACCAAAGTTCATCGACAGACAAACTTTTAACATTTTGCTGGTAAGCATTTCTTCAAATTTTGTATGAAATATTTAATAAGTTCATTAACTCAATGATTACTTTATTTTAAGCGGATTAAATCGTTTGAGAAGTTGTATCGTGGATTATTACAAAGAGAGATGTAACGAGAAGGTGGCCACGTTAATGGACTTTCAAATAGAATTTCTCTTTGCAGAATGGATTTTAGAATTGTGTAGTCCTTATTTAAATCTAAAAAACGAATGCCCCGTTATTACCACAAAATATAATCCGAAAGAAATAAGTATATCAGGTTTTTTAATTAAGTATCTCGCTCCTTACAGTTGAGTGTTACGCCCCATTTCAATTATGTTCTGTCCGTTAAATTGATTTAAAGTGTATTAACTGTATAATATAATTTTCTGTATATTTTATTATTAATAAAATAACAAAATAATAATAATAATAATTTCTTCCTGTGTAACACAAAAGGGACAATTTTAATATTGTATAATAAATTATATTTTATTTTATACTAATTTGATTTGTTTTTATCCAATATGCGAAGTTGAAGTTCTGCCAATTAAGTTCAATGATAATATCATAATATATACGTGATGTAACAAAGAAAATTTGCATAGTTTCACGGTAAACCAGGATAAAACCTCTGAAAACTGGAAATTATTCGCGAGTTTGTTTTGAGCAAGAGCTTGTCGCGTGGTTTTCCACGTTTCTGACACCTAAATAGGTGCCATTTACCTTAGTCTTCCCGGAAGGCATCTCTCCCTTAACAAATCGGGAAGACTATTCGTTGTCTTGACGTGATAATTAATTTTTCTTCTGCTTTTAGGTAGGTCTGGTTATATATACCAGTGTAATTTTTTATTATTTTTATTTAGATAGTTCTCCCATGATTTTGATTACATTGACATTTAGTTTAATTTATTATTGTTAATATTGACTTTGTTTCTCCCAAGCAAAAAAAGGACACCTTCAGTTATAATCCAACAACCTTTACTTTCAGAATATTAAAACAAAAGAATACAGGAAATTTAGTTACGTTTTACATACTTCACTTTACTACTATTCAACTCTGGCGCCGCTACTACAGCTCCTCCTCGTGTTCTCCACGGTTTTTGACTTACTAAATTAAATTCTCCCAACACAAATCGCCCCCTCAACATGGAAAAACACACACATGAAGGCGATATCGGCTCCGCTGAGAAACACTGGGTTAGGCGGTAAATAATTAAGTAACCGCTTATAACATCGCTTACTATAGTCATTGTTGAAATAATAAGTAAAGCGTCTAATAGGCACTACAGTAGAGCGTCGATTATCCGAATCAATTGGGGGAAAAGAATTCGATATTTCGGATAACCGATTATGCAAGAAAAAATATTAACCTATCCCATGTTGAAATTTTTCTACGTTGCGTGTCGCTTCGCGTTGAATTTTCGTCGATGTTAAGCCTAATGTAAACTTTTTAAAATAATAATCTTGACTATTGTATCGTTAAAAATTACTTCTTTATTTTGTACAAACAAAGTAAATATATTGAAAAATATAAAAACAATAAAAAATTATACTTCAGAAGTTAATTTAGTGTCAGAAACGTAAAATATTTCAGTAGCCCAAGACATAGCCAAAGATTG